AGCGTTTGATGGGGACAGTGGAGAGGACTTTACTCTGTCTCTAACCCCGTGTTGTACCTGTCCTGGGAGTGTTTGATGGGACAGTGTAGACACACTGTATCCAACCCTGTGCTGTCCCTGCCCTGTAAGTATTTGATAGGGACATTGTAGAGGGAGCCTTGTTCTGTCTCTAACACCATGCTGTCCTTGTCCTGTGAGTGTTTGATGGGGACAGTGTAGAAACATAGAAAATAGGAACAGGTGTAGGCCATTCAGCCCTTTGAGCTTGCTCCGTTATTCATTATGATCATGGCTGCTCATTCAACTCAATATGCTTTTTCCCCTGTATCTTTTGATTCCTTTAGCCCCAAGTGCTATATCCAACTCCTTCTTGAAATCACACAATGTTTTGGCCTTATCTGCTTTCTGTGGCTATGAATTCCATAGGCTCACCACACTCTGGGTGAAGAAATTTGCACGACATCATTTCCCTAATAATGATGATTTCATTTAGTTCCCCCTCTCCCCTCACCAAACCACATGTTCCCCAACATTTCTGTTATTTGTGTCCTCCTTTGTGGACAGAACCAAAGCATTCATTTAGCTGGTCAGCCATTTCTTTGTTCTCCATTAAAAATTCCCCTTTCTGACTATGAGGGACCTACATTTGTCTTCCCCAATCTTTTCTTTTTCACACCTCTAGAAATGTTTACAGTCAGTTTTAATGCTCCCCACAATCTTACTCTTGTACTCCATCTTCCTTTTATTAATCAATTCTTTTGTCCTCCTTTGCTGAATTTTAAATTGCTCCTACTTCTCACGTCGTTTGTTCTTTCTGGCTAATTTGTATGCCTCTTCCTTGGATCTAATACAATCTCTAATTTCCCTTTTTAGCCATGGTTTGGCCACCTTTCCTGTTTTATTTTGCTCCAGTCAGGAATGAGCAAGTGTTGCAGTTCACCCATGCGATTTTTGAATGTTTGCCCTTGCTTTTCCATCATCATCCCTTTACGTAATGTCCCCTAATCTATCATGGCCAACTCACGCCATTGTAATTTCCTCTATTTAGCTTCCTCGTGTCAGAATCAACTACATCACTCTCCATTTTGATGACGAATTCTATCCTATTATGGTCGCTCATCCCCAAGGGGCCTTGCACAATTAGGTTGCCTATTACTCATTTCTCATTACACTATGCCCGTTCTCTAGTTGGTAGAGGGAGGTTTACTCTGTACCTAACCAGATGCTGTACCTGTCTTGAAAGTATTTGAAAGGGACAGTGTTGAGGGGGAGTTATCCTGTACCTAATTCCATGCTGTACCTGCCCTGGCAGTATTTGATAGGATTGGTGTAGAGGGAGCTTTATTCTGTATCTAAGTCATCCTGTAATAACCTTGGGGATTGTTGTCGCCTGCAAAACGAACATGTTCCTTTCTCCAGCACTTACGTCCTTTGCATTAATGAGCTCAAAATTAAACCACAGATGTACGATGTTCTCATACTCCTAGATGCTCGGAAGCATTTGTAATCACATCCGTTTGGGAACAAATCCACTTATGCCTCGCTTCCCGTAACTTCAAGGAACTTTAAATCATTTCTAATTAAACGGCATTGAATTTGCCTTGTCAAAACATGACACTGGAAAGGATGGTGCCTGTGAGACAGAGAGTCACCCGTAGCCTGAGGCACTTTCCTATTTGAATAATAAGAGCATATTTTTCCCAGCTTCAATAATGAAAAGCTTTGTTAAAAATAAATTAAAGGGGCATTCCCTCAATGATCTGGGGACTGAGTGCAGTACCATGCTGTCAGAGTTTGGGGCTACACAGGGTCAATTTACGGTCAATGCTGAGCTTGACATTCTACATTTTGCAAGCTGCAATGTATATCTTGATGTACATTTGGTCAGGGAGGGGAGGAAGCCAGCCTGATATTTGTTTCAGTCTTGTCACCATGTTTTAGAGGTGCATGTGGACACAAGTATTTTATGCACAGCTTCCTCCTATTCACGACAATAGTAGTGAATGGGCACAGTCTCTCGTTGTCTCAGAATGAACTGCTCTTGCTGTCAGTTTGTTTAATAGCCTCTGCCTTGGATCAGTTGGCTCTCTCCTCTCTGAATCAGAAGATCACACCAGAGACTTGAGCCTGAAAACCAGGCTGATAGTCCCACTGCAGTACTGAGAGAGTGGTGCTCTGTCATAGGCACTGTTTTTCAATTGCAATGTTAAACCGACCCCTCACCTGCCCTTTCAGTTGGATATAAAAGATCCCTCCATAATATTCTAAGAACAGCAGGGGGAGAACTGCCTGGTGTCCCGTCCACAGTCGATCTTTCAAACCACATCCCTAAAACAGAATTTGATTGCAGTTCCAACATTACAACAGCGATTGCACTTCAAAAGATAGTCGTGGCCAGCAAAAAGCTTTGGGATGTGCTGAGGTGGAATACAGTATAGAAAACGACACTTTTCAATCTGTCATTGTAGCACACTTAGTCTGATTGCTGATTACTTTGAATAGATTGTGGGTCTTTGGTTTGTCAGGGTGATCAGAAAAGAGAGATCAGAAGTTGATCCACCTGTCATACATTGGTGAGAAGTCCGTCTGCCACAATTCTCCAACACAAAACCATTGGTTCTTATCGAGAACTCTGACCAATAGGTTCTACTGATTGAACAGCAACTGCTGAATAGATAATGACCAATGAACTGATAGTGACTATTCATTCGATAGTGAGCACTGATTCGATAGTGACCATTGCTTCGATAGTGACCACTGATTCGATAGTGAGCACTGATTCGATAGTGAGCACTGATTCGATAG